GGGGGGGGGACCAGAGAGGAGGGTAGGGACAGCTATCAGTTATTGACATGGAAACGAGACTTCCGCGTTTTATTTTATCACTGAGAAGCGGAAGCACGCAGAATAGATTGAAACGGTAGCACACTATTACTAAAAGCAACTATACGTTTGCACAGAAGAATGCGGTGAACTTGAGGGTACTTTTTGTGCCAAAAACCTTAAATTCAAGATTGACGGCAATCATGCATGCTGGAAGTTAAGTTTTCATGCGATACTTTGATGAAGACCGTCTCAGAGTCTGCTTGGAAGCAGTCTGGTGTTGTTTTTGACCTCTTGGTGTGTGGGATTGCTAATTTACTATCGAAACGAATGAATGATCTGCAGAGAGTTGATTATTCCTTTGACGAAATCGAACCTTTCGGTCCTTAATTAAAGAGCAGTGTTGCTTACTGTCACCGCAAGCCTGTCCGGCATGAGGGATAACGGTGAAACAACGCCATCATCTTGTCGAAGTAGTGGTTTTTACGGGTTTTGCTTGCAGGTGATTGATGCCACACAAATGGGAAATTTGGCTCGTTTCATCAACCATTCATGCCAACCGAATTGCTATGCAAAAATTGTTTCGGTTGAAGGTGAAAAGCGTATTGTTATCTACAGTAAGCAGCCGATCAATAAGGGCGATGAGATAACATATGATTATAAATTTCCGATTGAAGAGAACAAAATTGACTGCCTCTGTGGGGCACCGTCATGTCGCGGGTCGTTGAATTAGGCTCGATACAGTGTCCAATTGCCATAGGCCTCAAAAACGCTTCATAGTTCGCGAGCAGTCCAAGTCCCCTTAAATTACTGAGATGCTCGTAACTACAGAGAATTCATAGTCTGTAATTTAAAGGTAAGATAGAACGTGAGGAGGAGAACAAAGTGTGAGAGTGGTGATGGTGGTTTTTCAAAATCCCGCCGTATTTGCTATCTTTGAAGGTGGCGGGCGGAAGGAGGATGAGGAAACTCAAGAAGTAGTTGTAATGGTAAGAAGTGCCAAGAGTAACCACTTGCTGGCGTCTGTTTCTTTCGGGGATCGCTTATAATCGAGCTTATGACGGGGTTGTAGCCTTTGTATCGGCTTTAAATTGAGAACATTTACAATGAGGAGGTTTGTGATGCTCCCAAGATGAGGTATTTTTGACATTTGCTGCTACCTCCACACTTCTCATTGCCCTCAGGGAAAGCTTACATTATCAGGGTGTTGACGTCGTCATTCCTTGCTGCCGATCTTTCTTTTTGTCAAATTCGTTCGCGTTACTTTTTCTTGTGTGACATTTTGTCTAGCTTAATGGCTTTTTTTGGGGAGGATTGCAAATATCCCCCCATCCTAAACGTTTCTTGTGCAAATGTTTTAAGCAAATTCGGTGCTTTGCTATGGTCCCGATATATCGTTCTGCCAAGCAACTAAATGCCCGCCGAAGATTTTGTGAAGAAGCATTTAGTCATTTTTTCTTAAGTGAATGTATTAGCCCGTGCTCTCTCTCCGTGTTATTGTTATATGTCAGTGCAAAATGTCTTTCAATAAATTTCGTTTTTTTTTTTCATTTGATTTATTCATTAAAGATTTTTTCCTTTTTTTGCCGTACTTTGTAACCTGTGAGATTCTGCGACCTTTTTTTTGTAATGTATGATTCGTCTGTTGAAATCTTTTGAAGCTTTCTTCCAGCAAAATTTTGTAATTTTGTTCGAACTCTATCCCTCGGGAAATTGCCCAGTTGTTCTGATCGGCAATGTGAGAAATCAGGTTTCTAAGCTCGTTCGCAAGTGCTGTAAGGATAATGCGTTTTTTGCAAATGAGTACTGCTGATTTCGGAATGCGAGGGCACAGTGAAAAACACAGAGTGGTGAAGCGGGGGGAGGGGAGAGGGGTGGTGGGGCGATGGGTCTTTCGCTTCCTGCAGTGCAAAAGTCCGGCTCAAAAACTAAAATTGAAGTGAACTAAAGCCTAAAGCAACTCTAAGTAGCAGTGTTACAACTCTGTTCCTAGTTTTTGCACAGTTCCAGGGTGGGAGGAGATTCTCCTCCCCACTTCCTGTCGTCTTTGCCCCCCCCCCCCTCTCTCCGACTCCGGGAGCCCACCCCGGATCCACCTATGGTGAGAAGTGCTAGGAAATGCTAGAGAAGGGATGATGAGGAAAAGAGACCATGGGAATGGGGAGGAAGGAGGGAAGAGCAGATAAAATTAGGTAGGTGAAAAAATATTTTGATGAATTTTTTTCACGAAGTACTGTCAAAAATTTCTGGATATGAAACGGTACCACAAATTACTCTGGACCATTGTGTTATTTTCACTGGCGTACCCCTTTCGAATGCGGAAATTCAGGACATTGTCGAGTTTTAAAATATGTAAATTTTTATTTAAGCTACCGAATGTTTCATTTTCGCGCATTTGATGCTTCTTGTCCACCACTCATAGCTGTTTTTTATCTTCCTCATTTACGTTAATTTAAAAAAAAAACAAATGTCTAAAAACCGAAGCAGGAACCGTTATGGTGCCTTAACTGTGTTTGTAATCAGGCGAGAATAGTGTGGACGAGCGATGGGAGAAGAGAGGAGGCGGGGGAGGGGGGGTATTTTTCTTAGCAAAATGCAATTTCAGTTACGCCAAATTCCGATTTTTTGGGTGGCTTTCGTAGCATTTAGAGGGCAAATGCAAAAGTTTGAAAAGTGTTGACAAAGAGAAAAAAATTGTCTTGAAGAGTATTCAAAAATTCATCTTGAAGAGTAGCTAAGCAGTATTAAAAGCAGTGTGTGCTCCTGATGCGTAAAGGAAAGACAACCAGAAAAAAGGATAATCGGCTTAGCGGGGACGAATAGGAGAGGATTTTTGATAGGAAATTTTAAAATTTTGATGAGCATCTATGAAAGTTCATTTCTAACCGTTTCAAAATTTTTTTTTCTGTTTTTCTTTTGTCAGTGAAATTTATAAAGAAAAATGAAAGTTGTAATTTTTCGCAGCATGTATGTTTTGTAGTGGATTTTGCCCAATACTTTGTACACGAAGCATTTAACCACACTGTATAGGAATTTTTCCAGGACAGCTTATGGTACCGGTTTTGCCAGTATATTTTTTAGGCCACCATCAGTTCTTGTACATCAGCAACAGCCTAGGAGCACTTCTACTGTGAATTTTCTTAATTTAAGGCATCATAGATCTCCCTTGTGTCTTATCCGTTTAAGGTTTGATTTTTTTTGCGGCCAGCTTTTCCTGGTTTCTCGCAATATACCCTGTAAATTCAGTGACTTGCTTGATACCTTATACGGCTTCTCAATCGGTGTTGATCTTCTCCAGTGACTGAGCCGACAGCCAAGTCACCGAGTTCTGTCCTGAGCTCGCTTCATCCACAATATTCCATATAATCGAGTTAGCGAATCGAACTAGCACATCGATGACCTTCTTTCTGGCCTTTTCAGATGTCGCAGGTACCAATTCGATGGCACCAAGTTATAATAGTTCGTCAGGTTATAATAGTTCCGTCCAAAAATAGTATCAAAATTATCCCGCAAACAGTCTTTGTTTCTCGATGGACGTTTTCTCCACCCCTGTTGACGAACCGATTGGCTGTTCACCTCCTTCGCCCCTTTTCCACCTCCATCCTCTCTCCCCTCCCTCTCCTCCAGGCAACGGCAATTACTAAAACTCGGTTCGGTTCGGCTCGGCCGGTGCGTTTTGCGCCCCAGTGAGGCGTCTGGCATCTCTGGCAACACTATTTCGTATCGCCAGAGACAGGAAGCAGTTGGCGACGTGCCAGGAAAATCGGGCAACGTTGCCCCTGGAGGAAATGGGGGGTGGTG